AAACGGATACCTTGTAGAGAAGGATCTCTCTCCATATATGGAGAAAAGAAAATAATCGCAATTCGGTTTCTGGGTTACATCCTGTTTATATCCTGCACTAAAGTTTACAGCAGCTTCTGATTGCGGGGTTTCTCTGGCAGAGGAATGAGGGGCTTCCCCTGAACAAATCGCTTGCGTTTTCATTCCCGGGTTTGTTTCTCCTGGGGAAGTTTGACGACTCAAATGCTCTACCCGTTGCTTTCCTTGACGGATCAGGGTAATCAATCCGGGATACCGACGGAAATGTATTCGGAATGGGTAGGTGTGCTTGTGCACGATTTCTTCATTACGACAAAAACCCCAAGCAAGCAACTGCTCCTTCGCTTTGTTTGCTAACTGTGAAAACAAATTGAAAAGCCCGAAAAGAATGAATAAACTAAACTAAATGGATAAACCGCCATCTCAATCATGCAACTTCAACAAGAAACATCCCTTACACGATGGAGTCGTCATTACTTGGAAGCTTGACAGGGACGCTTGAACCTCATGCACAAGCGACATCCTCCAATAAAAGGGGAAAAAACTGCTGGCCTTTCATTGTTTCGGAGCGCCGTAAAGATTCATTTTCCTGCTGACAGATGTCGCGTCTTTGCGCCTCAAAAAATTTTGGCAGTGGCGGAAACCAAATTACATTTAATTTACTTTCGGCAATGTAATTCTCCGCACATATTTCGACTTTTGAATAAATCAAGAAAAGCGTTTTTCGAATTCATCGTCAATTAATGCACAGTAGAACATGGAATGTATAGCATCTATTGTAGCGTTTTCTCTCACATTCGAATTCGTGTTACTGCTGTTCAAACACAAACCATCCTGCCGTGGGAATTTTTGCCAGAATCCCTCGGGCATATCTTGACATGGAATGCGATCTAGTCCAAAAATCCAAATCGGACTAAAGGNGGAATGCGATCTAGTCCAAAAATCCAAATCGGACTAAAGGGTTGGTCGCTATAAATCAAGCACAAATGCTGCGTCTGCTGCTCCATACCTAAAGGGAAAGTGTTTTCTGATGGAACCAAGTACAACACGGATGCAATTATTTTCATGACATTTTCTCATACCCTTTTTTCAACATCCACAAGTAATTAGAGCTCAAAATACATTCACGAACATGAAACGTTCAAAATGAGAACATTATACTGTACTGCACATCATCACTTTAAAGATACACTAGTTGTTTCATAAATTAAAGAAAAGAAATTGAAACATTTGGTAGCTGTTAAGCTGCTGGGAGCCCTTTATTTACTGACTGCATGATCCTCTAAATATTGTTAGTTTATTCATACACTGGTTACAACACTTAGTGCATACAAATATAAAATTGGGACTAAAAGGAAGCAAGTTTTCAGTTGTAGCATTTTCACATTTCAAAATCAGTCAAAATCATCCCCAGGTTCGCGTCCGGAGCGTCTTGGCAAATCTGCGTGGAAAAAACCCGGCTGTGCTTCTTTATGCATCATTCAATTGGCTTTTTGCGTGAAATAAAAAACAAAAAAGGGTCGCCAGTTTTCCCTAGAACCTTCTGTTCTTTTCCATGGTCTTTATTTTTTTTTTTCGTGGGTTTGGCCTGCTCACCCTGGGCCAACCCAAAGAGTAATTACATAAATTTAAAATCAAACCCAGGCCATTGTTTGTCCTGGTGCACTTTTGTGACACTTGTGGCGGAATAATTCGGTACGTTAAAGTACCTTAAATCTATGCTTGATTAATCTCGAACATTCAAGACCTTTCTCAGGTTTTCCATAGCCTCAACTCGCCACCATTTCCTTGGGAAGCTCCAGATCAGTACTGGAAGAGAATTCATTGAGTTTAGTCGATTTTGATTGTGTGATTATCTTTGCTGTGATTGTGATTTTGGGGTTTAAAACGAAATACATTTTATCTTATTCTTTGGGATCTTGACAACAAGATCCCCAGGTGCACCCCACACCTGATCAAGTGTTTTATTTTCGAATTCCTTGTCTCCTTTTGTGCCAATTCGGGCACAACACTGAGCCAGGGTGGCACTGAATTTGGTGCATTGTATCAACAACAGCGAATTATTTTTCGAAGTGTCACCAACCTGGCCAGCGCAGCCCGACAGATGTCGCCAGCGGTTTGCGATTCACCAAAAAAAAAAAGCTTTTAAGCGTTCTGAGCCAAAAAATAATGAGATGAAATAACTTTTTTTGTTTGCTTGCTGATACCATATATTCTTCTTGATTCAGGAAAAAATAAACGCAAGAAAACAGCGCCAAATCACACATCTATATGCATCAAGAAAGTGCAAACTAAATAAGGAAGAGCATTGCAAATATCACCTCTTCAGCATCAACGCCCATAAATGAAGCCATTTACCATATCCCCATAATCTCAGAATGACACTCAGTATTTTCTTTGTTTTAATTTTGGATTTTGAAAAGATAATTTTCTGGACTGAAAAGTGCATGCCAAAAAAGAGAGTGAAATTGGCACTGGCATGAAGTTTGCCACAGGTAGTCCTGGTGCCAATGCTTCTTTTTCTTCTGCAGAAGACTGATTCTTCTTGCTTATATTCTTCATTGAAGTTTACAGGTTCTGATTGAATTTTACCACCGGAGTGGGGAAATTAGTGCACACTGGGGATATGTGTGTATAATTCTACACAGTGAACGTGCTGTGCACCAAAAGTTTACCAAAGTTCTTCTTTTGCACATTTATTTCCCTAATGTGCACCAATTGTGTGTTTGTTTACACCTGGATAACTCAGGGTCACATTTGTAAACAAATAAGTTACACCAAGGTTACAGTTGGTGTATTTTTGTGATACTCCTGTTATGTCACAATTTGTGCACCAAATGTAGCCCTGAAATGGTAGCAAAATTTCAACTCAAGAGGTGTATGCTTGTAATCCCAGAATATCCCATGTATACCAGTTGTGACCCCAGTGTGCATCAGTTTTGGGGTCATACAAAGAATATCTCTCCACTCTGGCAGTTGAGGATTAAGGGGCAGGTCCTTGAATGATAATCAAGTGCTCTACCCGATGCTTCCCAAGGCGGGTCAGGCTAACCATCCCTGGGTACCGACGGTAGTCCATTCGAAAAGGTGCGGTTTGCTTGTGCATGCTTTCTTCCGTTCGAAAACCCCAAGCAACTAACTGCTCCTTCACTTCGTTTGCTAGCTAGAAAAAAAGGAAGCGTTATAAATAAACTAAAGTGAATGGATAAACACACCTGAATCATGGAACTTAAACAATAAGGAAAATCCAGTGCATGATTGAGTCGGGAGCTTGACAGTGACGCTTGAACCTCATGCATGAGCGACATCCTCCGATAAAAAGAACAAGCTTGTGGCCTATCATCGTTTGGGTGCGAGGTAAAGATTATTTTTAATGTAGACAGATGTCACGTCATTACGCCCAAAAAAAAAATCCAGAAGTGGCGGAAACCAAATGTACATTAATCTACTTTTGGCAATATATTTGGAATTGTACATGGGTTGGTTCATAAATGTTGAGACTTCTTGAAATGGATCCTACAGAGTTCCAAGGATTTTAAAAAATATTTCACTTCCATAGCCCTATCAGCTGTCAACACTTCCGTGACAACACTTCAGTGCTGTGAAACATGCTCCCCACTGATTTCAATGCATTTTATCATGCGATAAATCCAACAGTGCAAAAAATTGAGATCTGTTGGTTGATTATAGGCATTCTGTGACTTCTGGGTGTGTGTTTTTTTTTCAACATTGTTTTTCTGCTTGGATTCATCACATGAAAAAATGCATTGAAATTGACATAGAGAGTATGTTTCACAGCACTGACGTTTTGCCAAAAAAATTGGGCTATTTGAGTTTTTAAAAATTGGAATTGAAGTCCCTTGGATCTATTTTAAAAATTCCTAAAACTTATGAACCAACCATTGCATATAAATCAAGGAGGGCATTTTTGGATCCATTGTAAATCAATTACACAGTAGGATGTGGAATATACAGTGAGACCCCAAGATGCAGACATAATTGGTGCATCAAGTGTGTCCCTAAGTCGGAATGTCCCTAAGTTGAGTCCTGTTTTCCCATATACTTGCATTAAATAAATTTTAATTTGTGTTTTATGGAATACATATTCATCTTAATTCAATGGAAAATTTGTTTGCGAGTTGAAATTGATTCAGTGATTATCTTTCAACTCAATAAGAGCATTTGGAGCTTTGAATATTGTACCTCTGTTCAGTAAATTTAAATTTTGGCGGCAACTGTTAAAAATGACATTCAACTATTCAAGTCAAAAATAGAGAAGAAAGTCCCTCTTTTCTGGAGGTATTTTTTTTGTTAGCTGAATGAACGGGAAAATGATGGAAAAAACATCTAAGAACTTTTCTTGCATATAAAGATCTTAAGGTTAGAAATATATATTTTTTACAATTAAGCCTGATCAAAGTAATTTTTCCTGAAACTTAGAGGTGATTTTATCATGGGATCTCTGCATGCTGAGCCAGTTTCTGTATTTAATACCTATAACCTTTTTACTGCATTTTTTATTGGTAAATAAATGTCCTCATATGAAATTGTCCGCATGTCAAGGTGTCCGCATGTTGGGGTCTCACTTAGCATATATTGTACCAGAGTTTCTCTCACATTCGATTTCGTTGTACTGTGCAAACACAGGCCATCTTGCCGTGGGAATTTTTCCCAGAATCCCTGGGGCATATCTTGATAAGGAATGTGATCTAGTCCAAAAATCCAAATCGGACTAAACGTTTCGTCTCTATAAATCAAGCACAAACGCCGCGTCTGCTGCTCCATAACTAACCGGTAAGATTTATCTGAAATGGAACCAAGTGAAATGCAGATGCATTTATTTCACGTGATATTTTCTTCTTCCTTTTGTTTTTCAGCATCCACAAGAAATTGGAGCACGACAGACAGTCATGAACATGAAACGCTCGAAATGAGAACATTCTACTACACATCACTACATAATAAGATACTGTACACTTATACAATATTTCATGAATCAGATTGATTTTACAGGGTTGAACTACGTTTTTTCAGGAATTTCCTCATGCGATTCGACTGACGATTCGTACTTTCACCCATCGTATTTAACCGCAGTAAGAAATTATAGCTGCATTTTGCAAATAAATTGGAAATTTTGTCCACGTCAAATAAAATACTGAAATATACTCACGTGGTATGAAACATTTCACCAACAATTTTACCAATGAAAAGCGAGAAAATATTTCCACATATCACCATTAAAATTTTACTTAAAAAAACGCTTGATGATTCTAAGCGTTATTTCGAGGAATAAGCATATGCACGTTTTTCTTTCAAAAAACATTCAGTATTATATTGCAATCGAGTGTAATTCCCATAGACGAAATTGAACAAATAAGAAAATTTACTATAAAATAAAAGAAATTAAAACATTTGATAGCTGTTGAGCAGCTGGGAGCCCTTTATTCACTGATTGGTCCTCTAAATATTGTTGGTTTCAAGTTTTCAGTTGTTGCATTTTTAAATTTCCAAATCAATCAATATCATCCCCAGGTTCGCGTCCGGAGAGTCTTGGCAAATCTGCGTGGCAAAAAACCGGCTGCGCTTCTTTGCGCATCAATTGGCTTTTTGCGCGGAATAAAAAATAAAATGGGTCGCCAGTTTTCCCTAGAACCTTCTGTTCTTTTCCATCAACTTTTCCTTTTTTTCCTGGGCATGGCCTGCTCACCCTGGGCCCGCCCAAAAAGTATTACACGAATTTAAAATAAAAACCCGGATTTAGTGCCCTCTTTTCCTCCTTGTGCATTTTGTGACACTGAGCCAGGGTGGCACTGAATTTGGTGCATTGTACTCCTATCAGCCACAGAAAATTATCTTTGGAAGCGTCACTGTCATGGCCAGTGCAGGCCAATAGATGTCGCCAGTAGTTTGAGATGAACTGAAGAAAGCCTGCAGCACAGCCTGGATGCATGCATACTGTACTGTACAGTGAGACCCCCACATATGGACACCTTGACATGCAGACAATTTGACATAAGGACACTTATTTACCCATAAAAAAATTAATAAAAAAGGCCTGACATGAGGAAACTGACTTGACATAGAGATAAAATTGCAAATAAGTTTCAGTCCAAATTTAAAAAAACAGACATTTCCAACCCTAAAATTGATTTCTGTCACCAATTCCAACATCCATTTAGCTAATAAAGAAAAGTACCGCCAGCATAATGGGACTTCCTTATCTCTTTTTCACTTGAATGTTATTTTTACAGAAAATGCTAACATTTCTATGTACTGTACGCAGGTATATCAGTAATAAATTCCACAAATGTCCATATTGTGTTGAAATGTATTGATTGAATCAGTTTCAATTTGGAGACAATTTTTATTTTCAAGGAATTATGGTGAATATTTTGTCCATAAAACACCAATTAAAAATTATATGATGTAAGAGTGTAAGGGAAAATGAGACTTGACTTAGGGACACTCTTGATGCACCCATTACATCCACATCTTTAGGTTTCACTGCATACTGGTTCACCCACAATGGGACAAACCAGTTACAATGAGAGGCAACATTCCAGCAAAAGCCAGAAATTGGCAGAAAGTAACCTAAGGGGCAAGAAAGCTGCTAGAGAGGCAACTGGGCCAGTATTTCCAACTAGAGTGTGTATCTATCTATTCCAGTAGGTAGGAGTATATGAACACCACTCAATTCAGTTTTTTGTACTGTGCATACAACTCCTGGTCATATTTCAT